CATGCCATGCTTGACTCGCTCGGGCTGGCTAGCTTGACTCCTACTCCTCCTCCTCCTCCTCCTCCTCCTCCGCCTCCTCCTCCTCCTCCTCCTCCTCCTTCTCCTCCTCCTCCCCCTCCCCCCCTGGCCGAAGCCCACCGAGCCCCCCCCCCCCTTCGCAGACGCAGCGACAGGAGCGCCGCACCCCGCACTCCGAGCTGGCCCGCGCGCGCCCGACGTGAGGCGAGCTCGCCTCGATGAAGGCCATCCAGTTCGATGCACCCATGGATGCGATCGGGGCCCACGTTTTGGCGTCCGTTCGATCGTCCCCCCGTCATTGTTCCTTTCCATCCTCCCCTCCGTCCCTCCCTCCCTCCCCTCCCTCCCTCCCTCCATCATCGGGGCTGCGTGGGCGTCCCCCCCTACACCTACTCATGACGGCGTCAATAGCCACGGGAACGGGCGGAGGACTCCTCCATGGGACCCTCGGCCAACGAAGACGTCTCTAGAAGAGGGCTCAACGTACCCCCGCACATTGACAACTTTCCATTATGGCGTCAATTGCCACCCGCGCGGTTTTCCATGCTGCGTGTTTGCGTGGCCGGTCGCTTGCAATTCCAGCTCTCATTGAACAGATTTGTCGCGCTGCCTGTGAGTAGGATTCAAGTCGCATGTATAGTCTGCCGCACGCGTCGATGACATGGCTGTTAGGTAAACCCATTCATTGAACGATTGTCGCAAGAAAACACATGGTTTTCCTCCTTCCATGCTTGGCCTCCTGATCGTTCTTGCTGAGGCCACGGCCTCCGCGCCGTGCCCTGATGGGCACGGGGTGGGCTCCCCGGCGGAGTGCGCACGCTTCTGGCGCTCGCTCGCTCCCGCCCCCCCGTTTCTCAGTGTGGTTAAGTTGGGCACGTCCCCCCGACAGGATGAATATTCAAACATTGTACAAACATAGCCTGGGGACGATGGTCCGATGATTGGCCTACTGTTGAGAATGTTTTGACAATGTTTCATTTTTCTTCCAAAATCCGCCTGTAGGAGGACACGCCCGACCTAACAGAATGGTTTAACCGAGCCCTATCCCCATCCAGACCCGATCTCAGCCCCCCAGTTGGGGATAAACTTTTCGAAACCCAAAGGAAACGGCCTAAATCCCCATGCAGGGTGGTAAATCGGCGAGCGGGGCCCAGGCCACACACAAACGGGGATAGGGGTCGGTTAAACTACGCTCAGCTCCCGCGCCCTCCACCCCCCCGCCACCCCGCTGCACGGCATGGGCGCGGTTTCTTCTACTGTTCCGCGCTGCGCTCCTCCAGGTTCCTCCTCCTCCGCCTCCTCCTGAAGCAGACGTTGCCCCCCAAGCGCAGATCAAATCACATGCTCCTCCTCCGCCTCTTCCTCCTCCGCCTCCTCCGACTCCTCCTCCTTCTCGTCCTCCTTCCGGCTCCTCCTCCAGGCTCCTCCTCTAAACTCCCCCGCACCTCTTCCAGCCTTCCCCTCCCCCTCCCCCTCCTCGTTCTCCGCCCCCCGTCGCTGCACAGCCGGGGCGCGGCTCTTTCTACTGCTTCGCGCTCATGATACCCGGCACCGACGAGGAGAGTCTGCTGCTGTGGCAGGCGCGCGCTCGCGGCGCGCGCGCGGATCGCTTGCGGCGGAGACCGCTTCGGGGCTCGTTTCGGTTCCTTCGAGTCGATTCGACTTCGACTTTGATGGCCTCCGATTCCGATTCGCTTCGGCTTCGGATTCCGATTTGGGTGCCGATTACTCAATGGAGGCCTACCAGCCCGCCGACTTCTGCCGATTCGACTTCTCCCGACTTGGCTGCCGATTTCAGCCGATCTGACTCATTTCGGTCGCCGATCCGACTTATCGATTCGATTCTGGGCTCTCCTGCCCCTTCCGCGGGCAAGAGATGTGTTCCTCGGCGGCGAGCGAGGGGGGGAACCGAGAAGGAGGAGGCCTTCTCAGAAGGCGGCGGAACCTCTCAGAAGCCCTCCGGCCTTCTGCGAAGTTTCCTGCGTCTTCGCGGAAGGCTTGGAAAGGTGGAGGTCCAGGGAATTTCCGAGCTTTCTGAGAAGGCTGCGGGCAATACTTCTGTCCATGTCCATTGCGATATGGAGTTTCGGGTTCCCTTCCCCAGAAACCAGAGGCGCGCTGGACATGGATAAATTTGCCCCCTAGAGGCTCGATTTTTATCCAGATCCAGTGCGCCTCGGCCTTGTGACGCTCCTTCCCCAAAACATCCAAGACGCACTGGATATGGGTACGAACCTTGCCCGCAAAGGCCTTCTCCTTCTCGTTTCCCCTCCTCGCTCGCCGCCAAGTTCCATGCGTCGCAGCGCCGTTTGTCCCGACGGGCGGCCCTGCGTCTTGGAGAGGGCGCCTCCGGCCGCCAGGGCAGGCTCCGCCTCGGGCTCGCAGGGTTCGCACTGGGTCTGCCGCGGTGTCGGCTTCGTCCGCTCGGGCACGGCGACATTCCTCATCCTCATCCTCATCCTCGTCCTCCTCTTCCTCCTCCTCCTCCTCCTCCTCCTCCTCCTCTTCCACTGTTCTACTTTAGCCCAACTTAAGGACCTAGCCTGTGGCGATCCTCCTCTCAGGGCTTGCTTCGATTGCTCTGCCTGGATTCGATGCGGTGTCGATTGCTTCCGACTTCGACACGATTCGATGTGGGAGTCCGATTGATGTGCCGAGTTCTCCATGGAGGCCTCACTAGCTTGCCGACCCCCGCCGACTCGACTTCTCCCGACTTGGCTGCCGATTTTCACCGATGCGCTTCATGTCGATCGCCGATCCGACTCAGCGATTGGATTCTCAGCTTCTTGCTTTCATGGAAGCCCGGGACGCAGTAGATATCGATAAGACCGGACACCTAGCGAGACCAGGTTTATCCACATCTTCTGCGTCTCGGCTTTTCGTCTTTTTTGGCATCCCTTCCCCAAGCGCCATGACGCCGCGGCTGTAGCTTTTGCCCACACGTGGACACACACACACACACCCCGCAGGAGGCAGCCGCTGAGCATTTGCTTCCGAGGCCAGGGGCGACACACATTCACCGCCCAGGGAGCCGCTCCTTCTTGGATCTCGGGAGGCGGTGGATAGTCATCTGCTCGGGGCCCCCTCCTCGCCCTTCCCCTCTTGCACGCCGGGCAGTTCGCCTGTCGGTTGCCCCGAGGTAGCCACACGCCGGAGCGGACTGCCGCTGAATCGCCGCCGAAGACCAAAGTTTGGGGCCCCCGGCGGCCCAAGCGCCGCCACGTTCGCAGGCGGTGTGTGTGTGCGTGTGTGTGTGTGTGTGTGTGTCTGTGTGTGTGCGTGTGTGTGTGTGTGTGTGTGTGTGAGTGTGCGTGGGTGTGGGTGTCTGCGCGTGTGCGTGTGCGTGTGTGTGTGTCTGTTTGTTTGTGTGTACGTGTGTACGTGTGTGAGTGTGAGTGTGTGTTTATGTGTGTCTGTGTGTGTTGTTCTTTGTGTGTGAGCGCGTGTGTGTGTGTGTGTGTGAGTGAGTGAGTGTGTGTGTGTGAGTGTGTGAGTGAGTGTATGAGTGTGTGCGTGTGTGAGTGTGTGTGTGTGTGAGCGTGTGTGTGTGAGTGTGTGTGTGTGTGTGTGTGTGAGTGTGCCTGAGTGTGCGTGAGAGTGCGTGAGTGTGCGTGAGTTTTGTGTGTGAGTGTGTGTGAGTGTGAGTGAGTGTGTGTGTGTGTGTGTGCGTGTGTGTGTGTGCGTGTGTGTGTGCGTTCGTGTGTGTGCGTGTGTGTGTGTGTGCGTGTATGTGTGCGTGTGTGTGTGTGTGTGTTTGAACGTGCGTGTGGGTGTATGTGTGTGTGTGCGTGGGTGTGGGTGTGTGCTCGTGTGCGTGTGCGTGTGTGTGTGTGTGTTTGTTTGTGTGTACGTGTGTATGTGTGTGAGTGCGTGTGTGTGTGTTTGATGTGTGTCTGTGTATGGTTTTTCTTTGTGTGTGAGTGAGCGCGCGTGTGTGTGTGTGTGTGAGTGAGTGAGTGTGTGTGTGTGTGAAGTGAGTGTGTGCGTGTGTGAGTGTGTGTGTGAGTGTGTGTGAGTGTGTGTGTGTGTGTGAGTGTGTGTGTGTGAGTGTGCCTTGAGTGTGCGTGAGTGTGCGTGAGTGTGCGTGAGTGTTGTGTGTGAGTGTGCGTGAGTGTGCGTGAGTGTGTGTGTGAGAGTGTGTGAGAGGTGTATGAGAGTGTGTGAGAGTGTGTGAGAGTGTGTGAGAGTGTGTGAGAGTGTGTGATGTGAGAGTGTGTCAGAGTGTGTGCGAGTGTGTGCGAGTGTGTGCGAGTGTGTGTGTGTGAATGTGTGCGAATGTGTGCGAATGTGTGCATGTGTGCATGTGTGCATGTGTGAGTGTGTGAGTGAGTGAGTGTGTGAGAGTGTGAGTGTGTGAGTGTTTGCGTGCGTGTGTGCGTGTGTGAGTGTGTGAGTGTGTGAGTTTGCGAGCGCGTGAGCGTGTGAGCGTGTGAGTGTGTGAGTGTGTGAGTGTGGCAGTGTGCGAGTGCGTGAGTGTGTGAGTGTGTGAGTGTGTGAGTGTGTGAGTGTGTGAGTGTGTGAGTGTGTGAGTGTGTGAGTGTGTGAGTGTGTGAGTGCGTGTGTGTGAGTGCGTGTGAGAGTGCGTGTGAGAGTGCGTGTGAGAGTGCGTGTGAGAGTGCGTGTGAGAGTGCGTGTGAGAGTGCGTGTGAGAGTGCGTGTGAGACTGCGTGAGAGAGTGCGTGTGAGAGTGCGTGTGAGAGTGCGTGCGTGCGTGCGTGCGTGCGTGTGTGCGCGTGCGTGTGTGGGTGCGTGGGTGTGTGGGCGCGTGTGTGCGTTGGTGCGTGCGTGCGTGCGTGCGTGCGTGCGTGCGTGTGTGTGTGTGTGTGTGTGTGTGTCGAGCTACCGAAGGGACAGCGTCCGAATCACGTGTGAAACGAACACAGCCCTGCCCAGAAGAGGCCTGGGGGGCTCTCGAGGCTCTAGGAGGCAAGAGAGCACAGAAGCGGTCCCCAGACCGCCGAAAGCAATGCCAAAAAGGGCCTGCACGAGCTCTAGGGCAACTCGGGAACCCTTGCAAGCGGCCCCGACCCTAGCCCAGGCGCTTCCCCGATGGGGTGGCCAGCCGCAAGGTTGTCCCGTCGCCGCGCTCGCTCCCGCTCCGCGGGAGTCCTGCACAAGTGCAGGGCAGGAACAGTTCCAGTGCACGGCTGTGACAAGAGGCGACTCTGTTTCTGAGCTACCCCTCCACACCGCCTGCAATACACATAAGGAGGACAAGTCAGGAGCTCATGCCCGTTCTCGAAGACGGGTGACTGAGCAGCTCCTGACCCTCGAATCGCAGCTCGCAAACGATCCTCCCCACACCCAGCCCCCGCGCTCGGCCCACCCCTATCCCCAGCGATAACGGCGGCCGCAGCAGGCGCTCGGGCGGCCTGGCCCCTCGGGGGAGGGGCCTCGGCAGCCGCAGCCGCCGCCGCCGTGGCCAGCGGCGAGGTGGCAGTGGCAGGGGGGGCGGTCGCGCGCGCGCTCCGCGCCGCGCCTCGCTCCTCGCTCCAGCTGCTGGCCCTTCCACTCCCCCCTCCACCTCCACCTCCTCCAGTCGCCCCAGAGGGGGGCGAGGGGGTGGCCACAGGAGGGCCTCGAGCAGCAGCAAGGAGACGGGCCACGATGGCCTCGCGCGATTCACGCTTCCCTCCCCCCTCCGACGACGACTGGGACGACGCTCCCTCCACCGGTTGAGGCTTCCTTCGCGGGGATCTGCTGGCCTCGCGGCTATCGTCGCGCCTCGCGGCGCCACAAACGACAGCAGCTGCCGCCAGCGCGGCGGCTACGGCACCAGAGAAAGGGGCAGGGGCAGGGCTAGCGACCCCCTCAGCCTGCAGGAGGGCTTCGGCACGCTGCCGCTTCAACAGAGTGGGGCGGCAAGGTCGGCACTCAATCGCGCGCCGAGTCTCAGTGGTAAACGCCGAGAGATTACAATTCAGGCAGCGCGCTCCTCCACGGCATTGGATGAGCTGGCGCGGGTTCAGGGCAACCCTCGGAGGCGCAGGAGGAGGCCTGGGGGCCCGAGGCTCAGGTTGGGAAGGGTTCCAGAACTCCGACCCCAAAATCTGCGCACCAGCCCAGGAGACATACTTAGCATTCGCAATAGCTTCTGAGAGCCGTACCTCTAAGGCTTTGTGATAACACGGGCTATGACAGACAACATGCAACGCAACCGAAGCAAAGAAATCCGCCCACGCATTGCCAAGCCACGCACGGACCCCACCACCTTCTCCAGAACAGCCTCCAGCGACTTATGAGAAGGTATCCAGGCGAAGCTAGGAGGGGGCCTGGCCTGCCGCTCAACCACGCCTCGGAGCGCTCTCCAGATTTCAGCATGGCGAGCAGGGCCCATAGCCTCGCGCTCACACCAGCTCTGACCTTCCTGGACGAGGGAAAGATGGTCATACGCTATTCGCACAACCTTCGGAGACGCTTTGACGGCCTGCAGGGCTGCGTACCTCGCCGCTCGGGGCACCGACTGAATCCCTGGCAGGCTCCCAAAACGGGCCTTGGAAGGGCGGCCTGAAGGGTCCAACTGCACCACCGCCCACGCACACCTAGCCACCTCCGAGAACTCCATATCCTGGCCAGCCTC